TAACTACCACCAGCTGCCCAGCCACTCAGCCAGGCCCAGCCAAGTTGACACACAAACATAACTACCACAGGAACACATCAAAGTATTTTAGGGGAATATGATGAGCCCTGTTTTAGCTTGGATTTTCTGAAGCAGACCTCGAGACTAGAATTTGGGTGCAAGGACTTTATTGGGAGATGATCCTGGGGAGACTTTGAAGGAGTGAGGAAGTGAGACAAGGGGTAGAAAAGCCAGTAACGTGTGGTTTGATCAGCAGGTTATCATCAAGGGCAGTGGGGACTCAGTCCCAGTGGGGAACCTCCAGGAGACGCCGAAGGACACACCTCAGAACTGACCCTCAAGGGGCCGGGGAGCTGGGTTATTTATTTGCCAAGTCCTGTCTCACTGGTTGAAGGTTGCAGAACCTCCCCTCCACGCACACACTTCAGGCCTGCTCCATACACATGCCCTCCCTTAGAGAATGCCCTCAGGCAAATTTGGGGAGCCACTGGGGAGCCTGGACACTGTCTGCAACGGATTTCCTAGGTGAGTCAATTGAATATGGGCAAGGCCCCCACAGTGTCTGCTTCAGTGGGTGATGGGTTTGGAGGGCCGAAGAAAAATCCAGGGGCCAATGTGGGGGCATACATTTGGTTCATAGGTGCTTAAAGTAAAATCTGTATGTTCACTGTGGCCTGAAAAGCCCTTTGTGATGTGGCCCGTCTCTGCTTTGACTTTATCTCTTATACCGGCCTTCTTTCCTTTCTTAGACTATCCCAGTATTTTCCCACCTCCTAGCTTTGCACATGCTGTTCCCTCTGCCTGGAACGCTCTCCCCAGGCTCTTTGCCTGACCAGCTCCTTCTCAGCCTTAAACTCTCCGCTTTTGTTGTTGTTAGGTATCGTCGAGTCGGATCCGACTCATAGCGACCCTGGGTGCAACAGAACAAGACGCTGCCCGGTCCTGTGCCGGCCTCACAATCCTTGCTGTGCCTGAGCCCAGAGTTGTAGCCACTGTGTCAGTCCATCTCGTTGAGGGCCTTCCCCTCTTCCACTGACCCTCCACTTTACCCAGCGTGGTATCCTTCTCCAGGGGGTGATCCCTTCTGACAACAGGACCAATGTAAGTGAGACGAAGTCTGGCCATTCTCGCTTCCAAGGAGCATTCCGGCTGCACTTCTTCCAAGACAGATCTGTTAGTCCTTTTAGCAGTCCATGGTACTCTTAGCATTCTTCTCCAACCCCACAGCTCAAAAGCATCAACTCTTCTTCGGTCTTCCTTATTCATTGTCCAGCTCTCACAAGCATATGAGGTGATTGAAAATACCATAACTTGGGTGAGGTGCACCTTAGTCTTCAAAGAGACATCTTTGCTCTTCGGTACTTGAAAGAGGTCTTTTGCGCCAGATCTGCCCAGTGGAATCAGCTTAACCATCGCATTTTCACAGAGGCCTTCCCTGATGACCAGGTTAAAGGGAGCCCTTCTTCACCTTCTCTAACTTAGTTCTCTATCTTCTTACCCTCCCTTTCCTTTCTTTCTCACTCCTTCTTTCATTCAACAAACATTCATTGAGCACTTACCACACCCTTCCAGACACCTGAGGGACAAGAGTCAGCAAAGCAGACCCCTTCTCTGCTTTCAGGGAGCTTGCATTCCAGCGTCAGAAATGGACATAAATAAGCAACAAACCCACACCTACTTACAACAGTGATAAATGCAAAGAAGCGATTAGAGAGGTACCGTCATGTGGAAATAAGGGAGAAGAGCAACTTCACCTGCAGTCAGGGAAGAGCCGTCCCTTTACCACACTTGTCATCTGTGCATTGCTTGTCATCTGTTTCCCCCACTAGGCTGTCCCCCCATGAGGGCAAGGAGCACACCTACTTGGTTCCCCATTGTTGCCCTAGCACCTAGCATGGAGCCAGGCATAGTAAGTGCTCAATAAACACTTGGTGAATGAAGGACTCAGGAGAGGGGATGGCCCTTTTGGGAATCCTCAAGACAGGAAGGAAGTTACAAGGCAGAGGGTGGATGACATGCCCCAGGATGGAAGGAGAGGAGGAGGCCGAGGGAGACCTAGGGAGAGGAGCCTCTGAGAGGAGATGGGGGGCGGCTGGCTCCTACCAACACACTTTCCTTGGCTACAAGCTCCCCCCGATGCGCTGGTAGGGTCTCTGTGGATCCATTGTTTCCAGCCCCAGAGGTCCCTGTAGTCTGGATCCAGGGCTCCAGGCACCCTCCTCAGGGAACCGGAGGGCCCAAAGTGAATGTCTGGGCGGCTCAGGAGGAACCCTAGGGCTTGGGGACTCAGATGGGTCCTGAACTCCACACCTGAACCTTCTGGCTCCATCCTTCTCTGCTGGCACTTAGCTCAGGCAGGACCTCTTCCAACAAGCTTACTTTGACTCTCCGTCTGGTTTAGGAGGCTCCTTCAAGCTGCCACAGCCCCTGGTACTTCTGTCAGTCCCTGCCCTGACCACACTGGGGACCTAATTAGGTATCTGCAGGC